TCTGCTGTCCGTCCCCCAGCGAGGGGGTTATAGGTAGGTCCTTGAGATCGGACCCCCCTTTCCACCCACCTTACAGGAGTCGATAGCCTTCATCTTCCTCCAGGGGAGCAGCTGGTGGTTCAAACTCAGGGTAGCCCACTACACCACTGGGATTCTTCTTTGGTTTCCTTGTTTGTGGAAATGGTAGGAGCTTTCTTACAGGCTTCATACATACATACATGTATGCATACACAAACTATTGGCCAATAAATGTAAAACATCTTGGGATCGTGCTTGGAATATGTTGTTGTTGTCGTTATGTGCCGTAGAGTCCCGACTCAGCGCGACGCTATGTGCCACAGAAGGAAACACTGCCCCATCCCGTGCTAGTCTCACAGCTGTCCGTTGATGCCGCACTTTCAGTCCATCTTGCCCAAGGTCTTCCTCTGTTGCATCGCCTACAGAATGTTAGATCGACGTGACCTTCTTCCCTGGGTGCTAAACAGCTCTATAAGGAGCAAGCGGGTTCATTATTCTTACTACTACTGACTTCTTTCCATTTCATCTAGATAAATAAAAATGGTAGGATGGCCATTCAATTAACACCTACTGAGGCACTTACTATCTTGAAAATGTTTTTAAAATTATGAAGTATAACACGTACAGAAAAGTATATAAAACATCAATGTTCAATATATTTTCATGGCTAAAAAATTGTGGCCTCTTGGGTGTCTCTTAAAAATCATAAGCTTATAATCAAAACTATCATCCTAATTTTAACAATATTATGTGGGTAGATTGTTTAGGGTTTCTACACAAACAGTATTTTAAAACAATGGTAACTTTGCTTCCTTTTTTTCTGAATTTTGTATGTCGTATCTCCTTGTCTTGCCTCAATGAGTGGGCCAGCATTCCTCGTGCAATATCAAACATACGTGCCGGTGGTGGGCATTGTTCTGACCTCAAAGAAAAATCTTTCAACGTTCACCTGATGAATACTTTCTGTACTGGTTTTTAAAATATCCTTTATAGGATTGAAGATATTTTTCCCTTCTAATCTTAGTTTGCTTTTTTGTGATTTATTATAGAACGTCATCAAGTACCTTATCTGATTGAGATTATGTGTTTTTAATGAATGTGTTGATAAATTATTATTAATGTCCAGATGTGTGTGCTTTACTTCTATTCATGTTATATACACAACTTGTTTGTGATGCAGTATTATTGTT